CCCCCCCCCCCCCATGTATCAGTCTTCACGACGTCCCTGATGGAAAGTATGAAATGAAGTCAAACATAATCCATGCAACATCAGCCAGAATTACTCAAATACACCCAAATTACTTATACTATATGTTTTCACGACAATTAGATGACGATATGGTGACTGAAGAAGTGGAGAGTACCTAATTTATATAAGCTATATACATTGTGTCTTTTATGAAGAACACAGTCTATTACGTGTTTATGGATGGAAAGTGTGATTTACATTAATTATTCACCCATTTTGCATTGGTTAGAGCGCTTCACCGGAATCACAGGACCGCAGGTTGAATTCCTGCCAGGGGGGGGGGGGTCTATAGTTGTATTTTCTCCTGGTTAGGTCTAATAAATATATAAAATTCACACTCGAAATGTCCAACTACAAAACCCTTCTACATTATAGTTCTATCAAGTGTAGATGCCCAAAATCCTGATTATTACGTGTTTACCTTGTTAGCCACAATGAACGGTGGGTTATCCAGCTTGTTTTGATTCTTATCGCCTGTTCTTGGAACCACGGTATTTTTTTCGATGTACTTCTTGTTCTTTGGTGTGATCTTGAAAAATAAACAAATTGAAAGCAACAGTAAAGGTTCATGATTGATGTGTATAAGAAACCATCCCAGGAAAAGTTAGAAAGAGAAAGTTTTCGATGCAGAAGGACTTTGAAAGATCCTGCAAGTTGAAATTAAAATAGAAAGGCGTAGCCAGGGCGGGGGCCGGGGGGCCCGCCCTGCCTCTGGTAAAATGAGTTCCCCTGAGAAAATTCATTCTATAAAAATAGGTGAAGCCTGGCCCACCTAGGTTTTTGCTGCACCCCCCCCCTCCCCGGCCAAAAATCCTGGCTCACCTCCTCTGAATAGAGACGTTGCTGAAAAGTGTGATTCATTATTTTCTAATTAATGAATCACATGCAAACATTGATCACTTTTCTTAAACAAGCCAATCGCAATATTCACTTTTGCAAAGGCCCTGGGTACGAGGTTGAGTATTTACCCGGTCATTTTGTAAGAACTTTTACCTGGTTCAAAATGGGAGTAATTGGACACACGCATTTATGGCATGAAACTGGAAGATTTAAACATGATGCATTTACCTCAACAGTGTGTGTTTGTCGCAGAAGAAGATGTGCAGTTGTCTCAAAGATAAAGAATCCATAAATTCCACCGACCACAGAAAAAAACTTCCAGTAGTAATCTTTATCTTTTCCCTGAAAACCAGTTGCCTGAAATAAGAGTGGACTTGTGATTATATTTTTGTCAAATACATAACTATTCTTGAAAAGAGTGGACAAAAGGCTTAAACAGCATGATATGGATGACATGATAACATTTTTGTGCACATATGCATGTCAGCGTTTCAAATAACACGATTGCAAATTTTTGCTTCGTTCAGTAATTGTTGGTTTTGGGTGGTTAAATCTACCTATAATATTTCGCTGCATTTCAAAGTCTTACCCTCTTCTGACGTCATAATTCTGATCATGTAGCAATGTAGGCTGAAAGTGTACATTGAGCCGCCGCAGTATCATGCACCAGATGGTCATTAATCGATAGTTGTAAGAGTGAGAAAAGAATGTTAAATACGTTCTTTTCTTTATATAGTAGTCTTGAATTTGGTACAGGTTATATGTAAATAAAATTGCGAGAATTTCAGTCTAATTCTTCCAATATATAGCTAGGTTTCCATATGGTAGTAACAGTCGTAAAGATAGATTTACGATCTTTCTCAATGGGCAGATTATAATAGTTTTATAAATCATAAGTATTCTCTATTCATAATCACTCTGCCTATTTTCAGTTCTTAAGAAAGATCGTGACTCAGTATTCACGACCGTTACTGACGACCATCTGGAAACAAGGCTTATGTTTTAACAATCAATCTCTAAAGTTCATCGCGATCTGCTGTCTAATATAACGTTTACAGTCAAACCCACCAATAGATATGGGCAAAACAAAACCTTTCAAACCTACCCGAGGCAAGAGATAAAACATTGAATCTCCAACCAAAGTACCGATAGCCAGAGCAATAAGAAACACGAGAGATTTCTTGTAGAATTTTGTTTTCAACAGTGGTAAGATCATGAATAACGATATAAGACTGACTGCAGAAACTGCGGCTAGACCAAAACCCCATACTAGAAATACGGAAATATTCTGATATTAAAAACTGATCAATCATGGTAAATCCACAAATTACGTACTTACAAATTCAGGAAATCGAAACTTCAATTTGGTCGATTAGGGCCCTGTCAGAGATTTTCTGTCATGCATGAATGTCGGTTTTTGCAAGAAATTCAATATTCAATTTATAGCCACTCCAAAATTTCTACTAATAATAACCTTTACTAAATCGTAAGCTAGTAGAAGTAGTATACATGACGGTCCCAATAACGAGATAGCGATTCGCCACCGGTGTCTGTATCCCCATTGAAATAACAATTCAGGTATTGAGAACGCTATATAAACACGGCTAACTGACAGTTCTATTTAATTTGATTGAAACAGATGGGGATGTTGGTGGCACACTGCAGGTCATTGCTGGCTTCTGACAGCGAACGCTACGACCACTCGACCGTGCAGAGCTGATCAATTTGGATTCCTACCTATAATTATGCAATTGCCAGTTGTCTGATTGGAATGTGGCCTCAGTTACATGTGAGAAGAGTGCTTCTTGTTTGACTTTACTAAACATCATACTCCGCGGTATGCCACTGTTTCCTCCTGCAGTAACACTTAACTAGTAAATTAGTCGTGGCCTTTACTGGACGCCGAGGAAAAGCGTGAATTTGCTAGAACTGTCCAGTATAAAGAAAGATAGCCGCATGAAAATACAGAAATGATTCCAAAAACATTTACCTGCCATGTCTGATACTTTCTTCATCTCATCATCTTCATCTACAACTTTATAATTATATTCGCAAACATTACTCTCTATTTGATCAAGAAGAGCTATTGACAAACTTTCAAATCTTTTCATTTTGCACCCATCATTTTCATCAACATGATAGATCGAGAAAAGTTCATCCGCTGAATAACACTGAAAAGAAACTTCATTAGGATATGGAAAATTTAGTTAAAGAATATTAATGGCTAATCTCATTAAAGCTTCTTTGATATTGGCAGGGTCGTCCTCAGGAAATTCTTCAGGTGAAGGGGCCGGGTGTAAGTTTATTTCAACCGACTGATGAACGAGCTTGTACCGACCACATGCTAGCCATGGAAGCTTGTAAAATTTCCGATGGAGGTCAACTAAATTCAGGGACCGCGGTGGAGCCATTTTTTTTATTACGGGGGCTATAACGAACGCACATTTCAGTATTCTTAGTTTATAAAAATCACATATGTATGGAAATTATTGGGGGGGGGGCCTGCTCCGCAGTCCCTGAAATTCATTTAAGATATTTTCTATCCTTATTTTGTTTAACTTTCAATCTGGGCTTGTTTTACTAACGGATATTATAATGATTATCCTGCTGAGTAAATTTCGAGTAACCAAAATTTCCGTTTCTTATATAACAGGTAAAAATCATATATCGGTAGTGGTTTTATTCGTCAAAAATATTATTGTCTGCCGACTAAAATAGGAGTCCTGCCGACTGAGGTTTCGAATACAATTTCTGGGGGATGTCACCCCCACCCCCCACACCCATCCCCCGTAGCTCCGGGCCCAATCTCGTACCCAGAATATACCCGTTCGCACCTAACCTGCGAACGGGCATACTCTGAGTACGAGATTGCTCCGGGCCTGGATATTGGGCAATTCCAGTAGTGCAGTCCTGGGGATCTCAAAAAGGAACGAGGTGACATGGCGTGGGGTGACAAAATAATAAACTTGAAAAGTTCCAATCTTTATTAATAATGTTTTTAAACGAGGAAAGGATTTAACTGAAATGAATGATTCTGACAATCCCAACCGCACTCTACCTTGTGAAGGCTAATAATAGACATAGCGAAGCTATTTCATGTTAGGATTACATGATCAAGTATAGATCGAGCGAGACTGCTAAAATACCATCGTATTGCTGATTATGCTGAAAAGTTTCAATAAAAACTACCGAAACAACCGAAATATTTCAATATTTACAAGTATACGCTATCACTCCGTGTTTACACGGCCACCATTAGTTTATTTTTCAGCATAATCAGCAATGTGATATCTCACTTCCCATCGTCCCCTGCACGCATAAACTAAAAGCTGGAATTGCCAATTAATCCGCAACAATTTACTAGTGGATTCAATCTCTTCCACTACACCACAATGTACACTATCGTGGAGCCGCTTTACTATGTTTATCCTAAACCACCCTGCCTGTCTACCTGCCTGCCTGCCTGCCTGCCTGCCTGCCTGCCTGCCTGCCTGCCTGCCTGCCTGCCTGCCTGCCTGCCTGACTGACTGGAGAAAACCCACGACTTTCGGCAGAATTTTGACAGATTCTTTTCACATGAAGCCACAATCTCAGAGGTGAAAGGCGCTTCATCTGAAGACTGCGTCAGCGATACCCCTTATAGCAGTAGCAGGCCTAACTCAATGACAGTGGCAACGCATTAACTGCCACAAGTATTTCCCAATCATTCTCAACATTGTATTATCCTTCACATACTTTTTCGTAAATATTGCCTTCTGCAACTTGGCTACCATCTTGTTGTTGCTTTTGTCTAAGTAGAGAAGACATCTTTGAATTGCGAGGGCGGTAGGAAGAACGTTTAACAATTTGTCTCTTTCTACGAGCAAGTTTATCTGCTGGCTCTGATGTATTGGCTTTGGTACCACTCCCATTTGTGCCTTGTCTTCCAATCTTCAAGTTTTCCATCAATTCCTCCATGTTTTCTTTATAAAGAACATTATTTTTGGCATATTCCTCAAACAAGTGGTTGACAAAGTGGGAAGGACAGGGTAGAGGATTTTCGTAGTTCACTTTAATACATTGTAGTTGAAGTAGTTTTGAAATAATGCTTATGCTTAACTGCGGAATCATGCCTTTGTCAACATCAGCTTCAACTGAAATATTTAGTTCTTGTAAGAGCTCATTGGCAGAGAAACACTAAAATACAAAATGGTAATTTTGGTGACAGAATGTCTTCCCCCATTAATTTATTCTTTATTTACCTTTCTGACAGGGGCTCGAGTCTGTATATTATGCAGTTTCCTCGCATCAAATGTTTTCCTCAGTCACATACAGGGCCGTATAGCCATCGGGGGATACCCCCCAAATATTTGTTCATGAGTAATTTCAGGTAACTGTAATTAAAGGTGTCTTGAGCTGATTTCAGGTAAATAATAAGAGCACTGACGGGCAAACATGGAAGTTGAAAGTGGACGCGCGCGCAAGCTAACAATAATATCTGAGCTTTCTAATGGTTTAAATATTCCAAATTTTCGGTAACTTAATTTAGGTAACGCAAACCGTAATTTAAAAAAATGGTAATTTGACCCTCCCCCCTTCTTGCCCTCAACAGAGTCTTCGTAACGTCCCTGGACCCATATGAGACAATTGCTTGGACACAGGTTTTGGCCACAGGTTTTGGCCACATGTTTTGGCCACAGGTTTTGGCCACAGGGTATATACTCATATTTCACTTTGCTGCAAAGCTGCAATATGATCAATAAGGAAATGTACTTACTTTCACTAAGGAAAAAAAATTAGGACTGCATGACATATCTCCAGTAGAACTAAAGTTATTGTAGTTCTTTACAGAGTAGTTTTAGCATATTTTACCTCATGTTTCTCGAGGTGATTTCCAATCGACTGATTCAAATAATTTAATACTTGATCCAAGATTTGTTCGCATATTCCGTTCGTGGAATACATTTTTCTCAGTTCTTCGTACACATCAACATTCTTTGTCAGTGTTCTTGGTGAGTTAAGTCGTACTGGGAGTAGGGAGTAAAGTATCGTCGTAGACATCTGAGAGAATTCAGTTTTGCTGATGAAATTACTTTCTTTGATATTGTAAAATTTGAACAATGATTTTGCTGTGATACACTATAAATAGAAGATAATTATAAGTTTTGAAAAGTGTAGTAAAGTTTGTGGAATTTTTCATGAAAATTCGTCCAGTCACGTCTAGTCATATGTCCCTGATCTATTCCAAATCGTCGTTGACAGACTTTAAAATTTTCTTGGAATGTATTCTTCACTGAAGTATGGGAACCCTGCCCCACCTGGGCAAACTAGACGGACTTGAGGCAGATCAATGTATATGAGCTTATCATGTCCCATAAAGGCATAAGTTACAATCAGGCCTTTTTAAAAAGTCTGCCTTGTGACGTAGTTTGCGGATAAAAGAAAACCCCGCACAACATTTGGCTTGCCTGATTGGCCAATCTATCCCCAAACTGGTGTCTATCCCCAAACTACGTCACAAGGCAGACTTTTTAAAAAGGTCTATTGCAACAAGCAGTTGTCTTATTCCCACTACCCCCAACCTAGTACCATTCCTAGCTTGAATATAGCGGATCGTCGGTCTGACTGACAATCTGCCGGCATGCATATGACAAGAATATGATTATTTTCTTGAAAGAAAGAACTCTTTAAGCTGTAGTGTAACTTATTTTTCATTTTCTTGATTTTATGGCTTGTTCCCGTGATATTTCAATTTGTTTGATATGTAAATGAGTGTGAATATGTCCGCTAATTTATGACGTCACTTTGGTTGGAAGCTCTTCGAAATGGTTCAATATCACTGCTATCATCCAAGACGATAATATCAAACTTCACTCACTGGTAAATGTGATGAAACACTGGAGAAAAACGTGAACTGATATCTACAGTTTTTAGAGTTGATAGATTTATAGCTAGTGTAAGTTGAGCTTGCAACCAAAGTGACGTCATAAATTAGCGGGCATATTCACACTCATTTGACATATCAAACAAATTTAAATATCTCGGGAACAAACCACAAAAACAAGAAACTGAAAAACTTAAGTTACTTTATAGCTTAATTAAAGAGTTCTTTCATTCAAGAAAATAATCATATCCATGTCATATGCACTTTAACAATAACAGTCTCAATTACATTGAGAATAATTTAGCACACTGAAGCTGCACGATTCTTTTGACAGTTACTCAAGCAATCAGTCAGCATTCAATTCAAAGACCAGTGACAGCGTTGTTCGAATTTCTATGTTTTATCCAATCGGCCATTCTGATTCTTTTGTCATATAGAGTATTACCATTGGTACTCATATAAATATTGCGCAAGTAGGTAGAATTTAGCGAATATACTGTACAATATCCAACATTAATATTCCCTATAGGTCATTATAAACAAACATTCATATCGAAATCAGTGGAGTCCGGGAATGTAATCATCTTCATCATCAAGTTTATTTCAATGAAAACACCCTAGCCTTGCACAACTAAAAGCTGATTTACAGGAGGCGCGTGATATATATACAGTAGAATTTATAGAATATTATATAAACCTCAACCCCCCCCCCTCCAAAAAAACAAAGAAAAATAAAGTCAAGTAAAGAGAATTAACTATAATTAAGTCAACGTGGTTCTAAAAGGACAGTTCCGCAATACTATGCTTAAATTGGCGGAGCGAAGTCGCTCTTTTTGCATCTAATGAAAGATTATTCCACAGCATTGATGCACTATATTTAAAGCTTCGCTTCAAAAAATTAGTTTTTGGTTTTTGAAGTGCTAGATCCGTTTCCTGATTTCGTAAATTATGGCCTCTATTAAGTTCTCTAAGTCTTACGAGGCTTTTTCTTAAACATGGCGAACAATTTTCATCAAGGACTTGATACATTAGGATACTCTTCAACTTAGCCCACCTAACATGTAGACTATCCCATCCTATACCTTCCAAAATATTACTTGATCTAATCCTATATCATCATATCTTGCTCGCGTGATAACTCTAGCCGCACGATTTTGTAGTATTCGCAATTTGTCTTTTACTATTTTATCACATGTATCCCACAGGGGAGAGCAATGATCAAAATATGGCTGAATTAATGATTGTATAATGTAACAGGAGAACTCTGGGGGAACAAATGGTTTAATTCTCCTCAATGCTCCTATGCCTGAAGCCCTGAACAGATCTTCTTGCATATTTTTTCAATATTGATATATCAAAGGTCAACGTACCTGTCATCAAGATCAACCCCTAAGGGCTAAACATTTATTCGAGACAACAGATGAAACTACATTATTGTTCATGATAATGCTGTTGTACAAGTCACCAACTTTGTTGGTCAAATTTTGTTTAGATCCTATGACCATAAGCTTAGTCTTAGAAGGATGGGATTGGAGTTTATTTACATTTAACCAATCTGTGACATTCTCTAAATCAGAGTTAATATCATTAGCCAGTTCAACAGAGTCGTGCGAAGAGGCGAAAATTAATTTGGGTATCATCTGCATATATAGACAGGGTGTTGTTGTCTTTAGACAGTTGGGTAAATCGTTGATATAAATTAGGAACAACAACGGGCCAAGTATTGAACCTTGTGGAACCACGCAAATGATTTCACCATTATTAGAAAGGTAGCCATTTACTTGGTAGTAAGTGTTGCTGCCGATTTGAGAGGTAGGATTGAAACCATGCAAGTTCAAGTTGAGAAACGTCGTAGAAAGCCAGTTTTTCAAGTAGTATAACATGATCTATTGAATTGAAAGCTTTTCTGATATCAGGGAAAACTACCCCTGTTAATTTGCCATTATCCATATTTTTGTACCAGTTATCACACATTTGAATTAGACTGAGCGGTAATTGTGGAGTACCCTGGCCAAAATCCGGATTGGAATTTAGATATAAGGTAATTTTCGTATAGATGTTTGTAAAGTTGTGTAAAGATTTCTTTTTCGAAGACCTTTCTTATTATCGGAAGAATTCGTCTGTTGCCTTCCTTATAAATCGGTAGCTATATAACTCTTGCATCTTTCCAATTTTCTACAAACACTCCAGTTGAAAGTGATAGATTAAAAATATAAGTTAAAGAGGGTGCAATTATATCTGCAGCAATGCGTAGCATCTTAGCCGGAATTTTGTCAAGACCGGCGCCTTTCGAAACATTTAGATATCCTAGTGTTTTCAAAACATTATCCACCGGAATAAGCATAATAAACGAAAGGATAGAATAATTAACTCGTTATTTTCCAAATAAGTTTCAACCTTATTTGTTGACTGATTTGAAACTTCCGAAGGTATAGTTTAGCGGCCAGTTATATTGTTATATTGATAAAGAATTCATCGAAAGCTTCCGATATATTTTCTTCGTTAAGGCTGCATTCCAGTTACGCGTTTTTCATACGTGCGTACATGCACGTAAAAGTCGAATTCGCTTTACATCCTACTTATGAAATAACCAAATTTACAAAAGGACAGCATTCAGTTTTGTGTATGATTTAATGTGTATTTGTTAAGGTTATTTGCACTTATATGAAATTTTAAGCGAATTCAACTTTTACGTGCGTGTACGCACGTATGAAAAACGCGTAACTGGAATGCTGCAGCCTTTACGCAGAATAATGTTATCGTCAATTTCAATTTCATTAATATGTTTTGTTTTACTGGCACGACCGGTAAGATAATTAATAAGTTTCCTAGTAGTTTTTGGGATCGTTTTTATTTCACTCGCCAATTTTTTGGCAGTAATAACGAGATTTACTTTTCCGAATTTCAATATTGACTCTGTTCCTTGCATGAGACTTGATCAGTCTTAAGTGGTATTCAGAGCCCGATATTTAAGGATTGTTTTTTTATGATAATCACGATTACGCATCATCTTTTTAATGTTCGAATTTAACCCTGGAATTGCGGTACGCCGTATACGCGCTGAAGTCTCAATTTCCCACGCCTACCTCCAGGCCAAATTAGGATTACTAGTTCCTATTCTTTGCCAAGGTATATTAAGCAGATCATAAATGAAATTTTCCTTCACAAAGTGTTTTAAGTTTCGTACTTCTTTTTTGATTTGTCTACGCTTATATGGGATAAAGTTACGGACAACGAAGATTTCAGTCTAAAATAGTCACAGTTCTGTCAGTTCATATCCCCTAAAACAATCAACTGCTTATTTGCGTAATCACATTTTTCAACAAATTTAGTGTAATTTTCAAAACGTTTATATCTGCATTTGGCGGTCTGTACAATGTACTAAGAACGATTTGTTATATGGAAGATTAATTTCTGCACAGATCATTTCTAGTTGGGCAGGGGCAATTAGATCATGTCTAGCTGAGCAAGATATATTCTTTTTATATATAGGCATTAAATAGCTTATTATAACGTTTACCGGGGATGTGTATATTTCTCCGTCAGTGATAGTATTATCAAGTTTGGATTCATTAATGGCTAGCTAGCACTTCCAAGGGACTGAGTAGACATCAAAATATAGCGAATCTCATCGATATGTTTATAATTATAAACTATTTATATTAATACAAGCAATTAGCTTTTAAGTTCTAAAAAACCTTTGATGTTAGCGATGCTATGCAGCGGTAATTTACCACTGTCCTCAGTAGAACCAACCATGTTGGCTAAATGTTTTTGTATTTTCCTGCAGGGTTATGTTAGTTATGATGCACGTTCAGTGACGTTTTCAGTATGATCTGTGAAGTACACAGCATAAGTCTGCCCAGAGGCCGCGGAAGCGTTTCGAAAGTGGAGAGGCATTGGCCAAAAGGGGCACTTTTCTTCATGAACAAATTCAAACGATTTTATGTCGTTTACGAGCCGAGCGAAATTTTTTGAAAATATGTCTCTATACGTTGGAAATGGCTCTTACAGAGTCTTTACTACTGCAAAAAGGGCACTTTCTTTCCAGCAAAATAGGACGTTCATTCAAGAAATACTTTTTTAGTTCTTCAAATGGGGCACTTTAGCCCAGAAGAAAGAGCACTTTTTCACTTTTAAAAAAAGTGAGGGGGCATTATTTATTGCCCGGTTCCGCGGCCCCTGAGTCTGCCCATGCCGTTCATTGTTTTCTTCCATGTTATAGTCCCCCGTTTTATTCGTAATAGTATATGGTAGCTCGCATGCAAAATGTGCAAATATAGCGGGCGCTATAACGAAATTGTGATGAAAAGAAACAAAGAATAATGAAATTAAAAACAGGGCTCGTAGTATTTCCAATATTTAAAATAAATGAATAGTTGAGTCGCGATCGTTTCGCCTTCAGTTCATCGATCCCAACTCCAACAACCCAAAACCTGTTACCAAATTGTGAGTGCCAACATTGTAGGAACTTGAAGGTTGTAAACTTGGGAGAAATAAAACTGGCGAACATGTATATGGACCTTGCGGTCATGTTTTGACATTACTCATCGTATTTAAATATTGATTGACAGGACATCAGATGAGATCAAAGATCGATCAGTTAGTGATTCACGTGCAAGTCACAAGCAAAATGAGTTGGAAGAACAACTTAAGGGGGTCGACAGAAGCTGGTCAGCTGACATGCATGTTGCTAAAATAAAGAACGAAGCATATTCACTTGTTTTCACGAAAATGTTTCCCCTGAGCCAATGGTTCCGGGAGGCTGTGAGGCCACCCATTTAAGGTGCATGGTTCTCTGAAAAAAGTGTGACGACTCATGCGAGTGTATTGAATTCTCGAATTATTTCACTGCTAACTCTCGCACACCTAACTTCCTACTTCCTTCCCCTTTCTATATCAAATTCCATTCACCTACTCTTGCCTTAAACTGTTAAAGCTATAGTAAGGAATTTATGCTCTTTTCATAACCCTTTCGTCTCCGCAATACACGTCAACATACTTTTCACTGCACACCTTTGGCTTTGTGTCGGGGTTCTTGCCTAAATTCCTGTGTTGTGACATCATCATACATTGCGATTGTCGGGCTATATCTAGCAAATTTCTGAAAGGCTACAGGCACTTCGCAAATTTGATCGAGGTTCGCAATGATGAAGAACTATAACTAAGATCATATCAATTGAATAGAATCGAGTTTTAGTGCCCATGCACAGGCAAATTCAGGAAATGTGTGTTGTCCACACGTTCTCAGATGCATTAAAATGCGTTTGAAAAGCAAGACAAACGATCAAGCACACATGAAAAAATGAGCGCTTTATAAAAATGAAAGATGATTAAAAAATGAAAGTAGTTACTCCAGACTTATTAAATTTAATTACACTTTAAAAAACGATTATCGACTTGAAGTATTATAAAATATATATGCACAAAGAAATCTTATATTGTTATCACCTTGTGGTTAATCTGTCCTGAACAGTCGTGCATTCCCAGTTTCTGCAGTAGAACATTTAGATCTTGCATTTTCATTCCATGTTTCAGTTGTAACGTTTGCAAAATACTTTTATAAGTTTCGTCATAGTTCTCTTGTCCAGAAAGAGCTGTTTTGTTGAGTGTATGTTGATTACGAGATTCGGTATTGGAGTTTGTATGATTATGGATTTCCTTTGTAGTATTCCCACTTTGAGGGATGACTGTGTGGTTTTTGCTTCCTCCAGTAACATTGCTCGATACATGACTACGCGTTATGTTACCATGAGCTGTGATATTTTCTCTATTAGAAGGAACTGCCTCGGTCTGAATTGAAAAACCGAGGGAAAACACTACCAACAGAGAAACAGCATTGAGAAAGCCCATTGTTAAATAGTAATATTCAAGAACAAATCATTGGTTATATAATGATATTATGACTATGAATAATAACATTTCACACCCATAAATGGAAAGGAAACGCACGAAGGGCAACATAGCGATGCAGTACTGCAATGTCGTCTCCCTAAGAAATTATTGTCCTGTGTTGCAGAGCATGCCATTCGAAGTTGGCCTGAGACTACCCGAGGCAGCGCGATTGTCCAGCTGATGTGGTCAAAATCTCGTCCATTTCTCTTCTTTGTCCTCGATGCCAAGTCGAATCTGTATATTTGGTGAGATTTTTAAATTTACATAAAATGATAATATCAGATATCTATGAAGCCTATCAAAGTTAGTCTGTGTTCCAGTCCAGTACAGAACACGTGCTTATCAAAGTCGTGTAGAACATGAGAAAAGTGGTGTTTTTTCTTTGTACGCCCTGATTTAACCGGCATCACGGCATGCAGTGCGTGCCGCAACCTTTTTTGTAACGTCAATGCTGCATTTTCGGCTGGTAGGCCTAATACCCAAATTTTTAGTGGCGGGTGTCTGCGGCACAGGCTAAATTAATATATCTCGGTCAGGGAATTGGGACGTAATATTTCAAATCCCAGTTAGTGTTTTAGACGTGGTTTCTAAATACAAGTGCCATAAACAATGGCGAGGCGCAGCCGAGCCATTGTTCATGGCACTGGGGATTTGGAAGCCAAGTTTAAAACACTAACGAGGATTTGAAATTGCTTCTCACACATCATTAGACTTTCATAGCAATGAGGCATGAAATTATTAGATATTCAAAAAAGTGAGCGTGGGCATTAACGATTACATTCGCTTGAAAGTTTGCATGAAGCGCAACGAAGCATTCAGTTCGCTTTCGTCGTGAATAGATTAATTTTATTGGCAAAAGAGCATGGTATCTTCTTATAATATAAGAAAAAGCGGTTTCGAGAACCAGAAAGTGTTGAGCACAGCATTGTGCACAGTATTGTCGCTCGGCTGACAAGGTTGGGGATCCGAAAAACGATATATCAGATTGTGTGTGCGATAAGGCGCTATCTGGTGGAAAATGAAAGAGCCGAAGTGAATATATATTTTATAGACGGTAAACATTACTGGTAAGTTGCTGTATTATAGTGTTTAAAGCGCTGTTTATTATGATAGTTGGTAAAAAAGTTGGTTTTCCTATATTTATGTAGTTTTCAAACGTTTAGGAAAAGTGTTAGCTATAAAGTGTAGTTAGAATAAATTTCTAAATACAACTTACTGTATTTAGAAATAATTCTAAACATAGCAATTAAATATATTTGCATAATCTTTTGTTTACGCCTCAATTTCCCTGTTGTTCAAAGTCCTTCCCACTTGAAGTAATTAAAGTCCTGGTGTAGACGGGGTATCCAGATAGATACACGTGATGTAAATTAAACCATGTCATTGGCCGAAATGCTATGAATATCTAATGATGTATGAGAAAAGCTATGTCTTCAACAATAGAGTTTAAATACATTTGATTTTAATTATATTAGCATACGCTTGGAATTCATATGAATAAATCATGGCATGACACATACAACATTGGATGAAACAGCGAGGACATGGTTCGCACAAGAACGCGTCGATTCCTATAAATAATCAAAATCGAACAGAACGTGAGAAAAGTGTTGTGCTTTTTTTTCCAGGGATTTATTACAGAAAGATGGACATCCTGTAGCAACTGAGTCGTTCAAGCGTGGAAAGTACGTCTCAAAAATTACGGGAACCACTGAGTATTTTAAGTAAAATATAATACCGTTGTTTTACGTCTCGTTACGAGACTCTCGTTTGTTTGTTTTACTTCTCATTTCCGGCTTTGTTTGTATGGTAATTTTTTACTTACATCAAAAGTACCAAAAAATTTGCATTTTATCTTCATGTTAAGGTTGCTCTACTTCTGAATGTCAAATGATTATGAATCACTTGGTGTTGGTCTTCACGGGAGGAAATCTGAATTGGTGAGTGACGTTGTAGTATTCAATAACATGTTCCGTTTCATGAACGAATCAAAGTGTATATATAACCCTAAACCTTTCCATATTTTTAATCCTTTACAGAATCCTTACAGAAATCCTATGCCTAGTCCAATAATGCAATCCTAAACTTAATCTGATCTTAAGCAATCATATAGGTCTAATCACAAACCCAATCCTAAATTAATGCAGTGACGGACGTTGGTATAGGCTAAAAATGAAGATATATATTGGATTATTGCATGAAATTTAAGGCAAAAAAGTTTAAAGTTCCAACTAAGATTTCTAGCAACAAAAAGTGGTAATACTGTATGTTGGTAACTTAATCCCGCCCCCCCAATAATTCACGAAGTGCCACGCCATTTCTGTATATTGATTTGCAAGAGTGCACATCTATCAGTAAAACTTAAACATGATGGACAATGTTTCCTCTTTCGTTACCAACTCGTATTATTTCATTGGACATATATTAAGTTTCGAATCATCCAAAGCAACGTGTGTTATTTCCTTGGTTTGTATTCTGTCTTGTTTTGTCTCGCAGGCTTTAAATTATGAAGGAAGAATAATTGAATTACATCGTCTAAAAGAGAATCTAACCAATGTCCAGGCAGATGAACTTGACAGGTTTGCTTCACTCGTGGACTCCATTATTTGAATCAATCATTCTGAATGATATTGTGAGTGTAATTATTTATAATACTTTATTTAAATAACGCAAGTTCTAATTTATGTGAAATATGCAGTCAAGTCCTTTTCAATATGTGTAAATATATTCGATATGTATATATATATGATATGCTAATTGACAAAACATTCGTTTTAAACTACAAAATATTTTTTATGTTTTATGCAACTTACCCGACAATGGCGACACTTTTTTGCTGATTTTTGACTCTCCTGTACCCCATTAAGTGGTTTCCCTGTAATAATTCGCGACAGATTAAAATTAATGCATGTTTGGATTAAGCCTTTGGGATCTAGTCTCAGCGTCAGCGATCAATACATCATGCCATTCATATCGTTTTTCGTGGTATGGATTCCACAAGTTTTTAAAGGTGGGCGTCTGAGGCATGAGCTAGATTCCTATATCTCGGTCAGGGAATTGGAACGAGTTATGTCTTCAACAATAGTGTTTGAATACGTTTGGATTTAATTGTTAATGCAATGACAATGGTACATTTTATTTCGCGCAAGAACTGTAAATTACTAAGTAACTAAATAGATTATTACCATGGAATTTCTCAAAGGGCTGTCGGTTGCCTTCACCCTTGAGCGATATGGATGATATACAGAGTTGCCAGGCAGGTGGAATGAGGCACAAATTCCAGCTAAGACCGTAAAATACCCCAATATTCATATTTTTACAAAAAATGCCAAGGTGTTCTCATATATCCATAAAAAGAACTGGGAACTATATTGTGATTAGCCAATATGAATTAACAAAGCTTTACATATTTTAATATATAATTTTTATAATATTAATTAAATTGGGCAAGGGGTTAAAATTATTCAAAACCATTCATTTGATGATCCAGTATATATGAACACAGTCAAACTTATTCCTTCATAAGCAAAGCAAATTCCTTCACACACAAAGCGTCCTGCTAAATATTGATGTCTTTCTTGTAATATGCCAAAAAGAACATGCCAGCAAAGCCAAGAATAACACCGATATTCTGGAGAAGGAATAATGTGATCTTCGACTGGTCACTCTGTCCTGTGACGTGCATCAGTTCAGGCAACTACATAATGTTAAGAAATATTTAATATTTTGTTTTAATAAATTATAGTGCACGGGCCTTTGGCTCTTTAAAGGACTATTGTGGGCACGAGCAATACCACGTGTTTTTTTATCTCATAAACGCAATAGTTTAGAAACCCACTCTTTAGTACCACCAGCAACTCTATATATACTTACAATATATAGGGTGTTCCGGGAAAATGCAATAGGTAAATGTCCAGGTTATTACACAGCTAATTATTAGTGGACATCGGAAACTTAATGTAGGAGATGAATTTTGACACTAAGACTGTTAAATTGGTCTTGTTGAACCAATGTTATGGCTGTTTTTAAATAACGTCTGGTTCACCCAATGGACCACATTGAAATCATGCATCAGTTGTGTGAAGTATCAGTAGGTTTGATGACCTCTTACTTTAAACAGCCATAATATTCTTCTAGATCAATTTTAATAATCTAAGTGTCAAAATTCATCACCTACATTTAATTTTCTATGCTCACTAATAGCTAGCTGTGTAAAAATCTGGAAAATTGCTATTGCATTTTTTTCAGGATACCCTGTATAAAAATTAGCAGAGCACATATATCAAGAGATTGGGAGCTAGATTTCATGGGAGGAGATCGAGGTACTGTCAACAATTATCCCTCGCAATCTCCTGTTACCACCCATTGTTTATTCCGTTATATCCTCGTGTTTCGTGCACAATAGGATTAGCGTTTATAGGAAGGCTCGGGATTGATAGGGATGCAACTGCCCTAATAATAAGAACCTCGACGTTTCGAGCGAATACTCGAGCGAAGTTAGTCAACGAAGGGCCTGTGCTCGAAACGTCAACGCTTTCTTGTTATTAGCATTACCTACACCAACCTCGTTCCCAGAGAGCCTGGAAACGAGGTTGTACTTGCACTGGCACAGACCGTTAGCTTTTATAGGATAATCGTGATTGGCGCTAAAAATCAAACAGAACGTTTGTGCACGAAACATGAGAATATTACCCGACGTTATTTTTCCGTTTGACACGAGTTGCTTGCGGAGAAGGATAGCACGCCAACAGAGTAAGTTGCCCTCCGGTGCTTACAAAATTTCCGGTTATAGTTTATATAATACGTTTGGCTGTATATGTAAGTAATAGTTTACTGACCTTGTTTGTCAGTGCAATATAAAGGAAAAATCCGCCGGTTACCCCAAGAATCCACACATTCACATCTTCAATCTCACCAATCAACTTTCCGAACACAAGTCCCATAAAGCAAAAACATGATGAGACAAAGTTTGCAATCACTGCTTGTCGTACACTCATTCCAGCAGACAATAATACAACAAAATCACCTGGTTAGAAGGTAGAAAATTTGAAATTTTAGTAATGCGTGCTCAATTGTTTTGGTATTGTGGGAAACACCACGTTTACTTTATATTTCAGAATTTCTTTCGATCCGTAAGGATCTTTATATGAGTGCAAATAACGAAGGGCAACTATGCATGTATACCGCTTTATTTTTACTGATGCACGTGATAGATATCTTTACCAGGACTAGATCATTTTTGACAAAATTATTTTTAAACACCCATGCTACAGATTATTTCAAACATTGTGGGAGCATACTAGTTGTACTGCGCATCCTCAGTTGAGCAAGTTCGGTCTCCACAAGCAGTGAGTCAATAATTTGGGTTATCGTTCCATATTTCGCGCACCAATATAGGTTAGGGTTGGGGTTAGGGTTAGGTGGTAGGGCTAGGGTGTATATATATATGTATATGGAGGTATCCAGTTGTCTTTGCAGTACACTATAGTATCCATTACATGACGTTTACTATATTGGTGCGCGAAACATGGAACGATTACCATAATTTGTGCGAAAAAACAGATGAACTGCGCACCTGACCTGAATGGGTATGATCCCATGAGCCGTAAGGCAATTTCGTTTAACAATCGACCACGGCTATCGGTTTTTATTCAACTGTAACCATGGATCATAAAAATACTGGATAGGAAACACACGCTCACACATGCGGTGTTTTCATGGCCTCTCAAACTTGTTGAAAATTTTGGCATCACTAAATCCCAAATAATTCCACGTTAGCAATAATACGGCTGAACATTTTAGTCAACAACAGTAAGTACATTTTAGTCAGCAACAGTACTTGAATGCGAAAAATATAGGAAAATTCGTGACATCACGAATTTCAAATGGGTCACGTCTGCTCCTATCCATTTTCTTTTAACTATCCTGGCCCTCGGTCTTCACAGTTAAATATAAACCTCTCCCTTGTTCTTTAATCTATACTGTCTTAATCTCCAAACTTTACTTTCCGCCGTGTACTTACCCAGTTCATGTGGTACTTCGTGACACAAGACAGCAATAGAAGTACTAACTCCACCCACAATGCTATCACTAAATGCCACACCAATAGCGATCCCGTCTGCAATGTTATGTATTGTATCTCCTATGATAACTGTCCAAGCCATTGGTGCAATATGGCTCTCATCATCAATGTTGTCTTCCATTTCAAATTGATTGCCATTTGTGAACTTTGGTGGTGCTTCTTTTTCAGTCATCTAATAGAATAGAATAGCATAGAATAGAATAGAATAGAATAGAATTATTTATTTAATGCTGTAACGCAACGAAATGTACTGTAACTGTGCATATAGGGCTCGACAGACGTGTTCAACAAATATGTTTTTATGCTTCTATGATTCTATGATTCTATGTTTTTATAAGCCTGTACTCCATTTCAACCATATCGTACCAAACGTGGTGTGTTTCTTTGTTCCCGAGTACTAGAGTGCATGAAACTATTATACAATTACTTTATGGTTTACGTGTTTGGATGGCCTGATCCAAACACGCGGGAATGTTAATGTTGCGAGAGTTAAGAAAAGCGCGCGAAATCATGAGCCGAAGGCCAGTGATTTTGCGCGCTTTTGTTAACTTCAGCAACATTCCCAAGTGTTTGGATCAGGCCATCCAAAAAGGAAACCATAAGGTAATTGTTTTATAAAATAACAACAAAGTTTAAAATTCCCGCGAAGACACTTTAAATTTCCGTGTTTGGATGGCCTGATCCAAACACGGGTTTCGACCAATCAGAGCACGCGTTATATACATGTTATTTTATAAATGACTTTCACAAAAAAAGAAAATACTATACGACACCAGCTTAGATCTATAGGGCCTTTACTCGGCAGGGGGTACTTGACTTACAGGTTAATCGACTTCATTGACGTCACGGGGCGGAATAATTGCGCTAGCAATTCCTTCGCCTCCGTCCCGATATTAGTGACCTTAAGCATGTAGGACGGGAACGCGACGGCGACAGCAAACAAAGTCGTTGAACCAAATGATTGCAGAAGAAAACCTGTCGTTTCTTATCCATCGTATGAAAATAATACAGTTTAAGGATCAAAATTAACACAGGGTTTATGATTGAGAAAAGTTCTAGGACCCAATTTAAAATAGTAGTTGTCCCAGCTTGAAATGTAAGCATTGTATACAAGACGTGATAATCTGTATTTTGCCGTTGTAAAACAGAGCTACGCCGACGTCTAAAACGTCCGTGGATTTTAACTATTAATTTCTGCTCACTTTCTTGCATTAATATGATATTATTAGCTGTTCTCGTTGCACTTTCGTTCTGTTTTGTTGAAGTTCTTGATAACGGTAGTTCTTAATAATTATAAAAGTGTAAAATTTAAGGCGGTTGCTTGACACATCCCCGTACTAGATTAAGCCTTGCTTAAGTGCGCTATTACCTACGTCACCACGTGAAAAAGCGCTGAAGTATAAATAGAAGGCCCAAGGTCTAGGCTGCTCAGATAAGTTACGATACGATTGAAGTCGGGGAAAAACAGGTTTTAGTATAAGGTGAGAGAGAAAAAGCCTCAAAGCATAGAAGAGAACCAGCATGACTTTCCCACCAGCAGGCAAGTTACGCAACCTTATAGTAAACACCCCAACACTCGACTTTAATACAGTGACAGATTTATGTACTACAATTGTATTACTATACACAAATAAGATTCAGACAAAATGGAAATAGGAAAGTGTTACAATACAAAGAGAATCATAATACCCATGATAAATTTTAGAATCGATATACCAAACAAGGTCAGTAGAATTCTACAATAAGTTGCCGTGGTTTTTGTTTGATCGTAGTCGGTAGAATAAGAAGGTTAGGAAACTCGATACAGACTTAATGGTTTATGCAAAAAAAGATGGATTCATCGTCACGTGTGAATACACGCTTCCGGGAAGTACATCACCTTGGCTATAGAGCCTCGTTTCCATGACTGAGCATCAGGCTTTGACTACTATGTCAGATACACAAAAACGAGGCTCAATAGCCAAAGTGACGTACTTTCCGGACAGGTGTATTGTATTTTCGCTAGAGCAACCAATAACTATGTTTTGTTTTAACCATTGTGTAATATCACGACTGGGTAATTAACCACCACACTGTCATTGGTTGGTTGAGCGAAAAAACAATAGACACGTGACAATGAACCGTCCATTTCTTGCATAAACCAAGACAAAAATATAGATGAGGTCTATTATGTCTCCATCGAGTTTCATAACTTTATTCTATTGCATGACTGTGGTCTGATCAATAAGCCCCCAGGCTCTGTTTATTAAGCGCCCTCTGCAATAATCCCTCCCCCCCT